GGATGAGTCATATAACGCAAATATTCATTGGTTAGCTAGAGGAAATCATCAGAAGCAAGGAGGTGTTCTTCAATCTGCAAACGTGAATTGTCTATGCCATGCTACAATGTAGGATTCAGAAAAAGATGAAAGGTCAGACACAGGCGAGAGCGTATCGGGAGACGGAGACCAACAAGACCTCCCTCATCCTTGGCCCTATCTCAAAGAATGTTTTGAAATAGTCAAAAAAATTAGCTTTGAATTCATATAGTGGAATCTGGCTGTTGTTTTATATCATGCAGGATTCATGATAAAATATTAACCCATTCTCTTGAAGAATTTTCACAGTTCACAGCTAAAACATCAAAAAGTATTATTAATTAGATGGTTAAGACATTTTTCATCATTCAGTGAATTTGATATTTTTTTGTCTAGCATCTGTTTTCTTTCTTATTTGAACTGATTTGACTCCAACTGAGTAGTCATGTGTCAAGTATACGATCACATGACTTCCTGCTTTGTCTGTGATTATATGTTATTGACATGAACTTACATGGCACTTCCGTACGTTTATTCCTTCACACACTGATTTTGGCAAGCTAGATTGTAACCCAGCTCCTCTGGAGCACACTGACTGAAGTGAGTCTGTCATATAGTAGGTACCACTGGACCATCTGACCACCATCAGTAGGCAATTATTTATAGAGTCCTCATTAAGAACACATCGGCTGAGATGGACAGAGCTGAGGTACAACTGGCGACCCTCCTATGCCGCCCTTATCCCATGTACTTAACCTTTATTATTGGGTTGGCATAAATGCATCATTATATATTCTTTTTTAAACTGACTTCATATCCATCATTTCGATGAGTAAACTGACCAACACACAGGGGTAGAACCTAATACTGAGTTGGTTTTGTTTAACCGGTTCTAAGTGGCACATAGGGCAAAGATAATGTTGTGGAGGGTTATAGTTAATTATGGTATGGAAGATGTAGTGATGTTGGCCTGAGTTTGTAGCATTTAAACATGTGAGGCAGGTGGTACCTATAAAGCTGGTCACACACTGTACTATTTTTTGCCCTGCATCATGCTGAGAAGCTATATTCTTACCGGTAACATGCAGTGCTGCATTAAAAAAGGTTTTTTAAGACTTTTTTTTTTTTTACATAAAAAAATGTAACTGATAAATATTCTTTCCTTTTCATTATTTATAGATGATTCAAGAAAAACACAAGACCTGCCTGGTTTGAATATTCAAATTGTAGAATATTTAAATTTAGCTGGGATACAGAGATCTGTGTCTGAAGCACATTATCATTTGACTGAGGACAGTACTCAGCTGCACATCAGGAAGGAAACATTCCAGTTCATCAGGTAAAAAAAAACTAAATTTAAGTTTTCCTACATATAATGCAGACAGTCCTGGAAAAAAAATATAATAACCACCCTTATTTTCTTCAATTGCTTGATTTTTAGTTAGGTATTATTACATGAAATTGAAAACAAGGATGTAATAATAATTTATTTTCATGATTATATATGAAGAGTTCATTTGCAAAAATCGGTTTAAAGACATTTTTCAAAAAAATTAGCTTAGACATGTTATTTACTCTTTGCATGGCGCTGCTAATAACAAGGGTGTTTTTTTGAAAATTTATAAAAATTGAGTTATCTGTTTTTGCAAATAAAATCTTCATATATTGAATATCTAGAATTCTAGTAATATTTCTGATTTTGAGTATTGATGGGTCTAAACTACTGACAGCTTGCACTGAAATCCAAAATAGATTTGACATTAAATAAATCAGTGAATAACTAAACACTGAAAATTTAAACACTAAAAATGTAATCGCTGGATAATGCAGACACTGAGAAATCAAACATTGCCTAAAAAAAGTTAAAATTAATCATTAGGCTCTCATATTCTATAGCTTCTATTCAATGAGAGGTGGTTTCAGTGTCACAACAAGCTAAAACTGTAAACTAGAGGCTATAGGCTTGAGTGTTGGAGGCGGAGCTAAACTGAAGGCTTCTTCAAAGGTTTTTCTGGACCTCTTTATCCTCTACCTGCAATGAACATATGAAACGCTTCGGTTCATGCAGGGCTGACTCAGCACATCTGGGGGCCCTAAGCAAGACTCAACTGAGAGACTGAGAGATTAGTATGTCACAAGTGCAAAAGCAACAAAATCAA